GCACAGACCGTGCCCAGTGAGTGAGTGACCGAGCCAATGGTTCGGTCAGACCGGTCCAGACCGAGAGCTAACTGGTTTAGACCGGTTCAGCATGTGCTTAGTATTTTCAGCCCCAGTTTATGTTCAAATATTATTTTAGTCTCGGTTCAGTTTCATTTTTAAATCGGTTCGGTTCTTATGATTAAGGTTTCAGCCCGATTCATGATTTTAATGGTATTTTCAGTTAAATTTCTGGGATTATTTCAGTTCAGTAAGTTCATGTCCAATCAGTTCATGTCAGTTCAGTTCCGGTTAAGTTTAAAGATCATGTCAGGTTCAATAGAGCATCTTAACGAAATTAATCAGTTAAGTTTACAGTTTGAGCATAGTCAATAGTAATTGTTTATATTATTTTCAGTTTGATCAAGCATCAGCACTACCGTTCAGTTTCAGCAGTTCAGGTGGGGACTCAGACTACGTACTACATTGATTATAATTACGGTACCATGTTTGAGGTATGTATTTCATGTGAGGTATCCGCTCGGAATGGTCGCCGGTCCATTCTGGGTTCTAGTGGCCCTAGTCTGCCCACTAGAGTGTGAACATGGTGTCCGGCATCAGTTTTTGCCGGCAGATAAGGTAACGGTCAGGGTCACTTTTGCGTGACAATTTCATATTCATGTTCATGTTATTACCGGCTTGAGGTTGAGGTTATGTATATACTGATATCATGATGTTGTTATTATTTTCAATGTTTACATTAGTATGAGTTTTCACGGAGCACAGTGTCATAGTGCTCATTTCCCACTTTTATCATGTTTTTCAGGTCAGGACGTCGGGCTGGGAGCATGAGCTGACGGAAACTTCAGGACATTTATGTTTTGACTGTATATTTATTATGATGATTTACGCTTCCGCTGACGATGTTTTGATGACTTTTGACGAACTTATATTTTGACGGACTTTTGGAAAATTTTATATTTTCAGTAACTGTATGATTTTATTAAAAATAAAAATAACAGTTTTCCAAATTAAGTCACGATTTTAAGGTAGCACCCCGAATCAGTTTTCGCAAAGTAAAAGGTTTTATAACTTTGCAAAATTTTCGCACTCTGATTTTAACGATAAGGAGGGGTGTTACACTGGGAACTCATTTATGAGTTTGGCGTTCACCTCATCTACAAAGGTATTTTTGGTCGTAAGAATTACTCTATTCACTGAAAGTTCTGTCTCTGTTAGGTACGCCAAATCTGGATAAATTATTCTAATTAGCTCATCCAAGGAGGCCTCAGACAGAGGTTCTGAAATAGCTATTGAAGGCGGTATCTTAATAAGGTCCTCATCATACGTACGTTCCTGTCCATTTCCTACTCTCAGAAGCATCTCCGTGAATAAAGGATCTAAACGCGCGCGCATGTTTTCCACGAGCTGCAGTTTTGTAAGCAACGACCATATGTATGAGCTACTCAGACAAGCACCTATTGTTTCATCTCTAGAGGCTCTACGCAGTACAAGTAGAACCTGCCTAAATTCACCACCAAAAACTACGACCTTACCACCAAAGAGGTCATCACAACCACAAAGGTCCTTCAACGCCAGATTCAGTGCCTCAATGGTATCCTTTTTAGCCATTGGTGCCTCATCCCACACGATCAACTTGCTCTCGCGTATGAGCGACCCCAGAGAACTCTGTTTGCTAATACTGCAAAATTTCAGATCCGACAAATCTATTAGAATTTTAAACCTAGAATGTGTCGTCCTGCCTCCAGGCAATATGGATGCAACAATGCCGGATGTTGCAGTAGCAAGGGCTATACAACCTCTAGAACGCACAGTCGCAAGCAAGGCTCTATAAAGAAAAGATTTCCCGGTGCCACCAGGTCCATCCACAAAAAAAGCACCTTTTTTCTTTTCTTCAATGCAATTCATTATAACATCAAAGGCCTTTTTCTGTTCTCTATTAAGCAAGCCAACAGCATTTAGGTCCTCCTGAGAAACAATTATACTCCTCTCAGCATCTACCTCACGTGTATTTTTTTGATTGAGAAAATCCGAATTGACGGGCAAAAGATCAAAAGACCTAATATTTTTACCCATTGTCTCCAGAAAACCACTAAGTTGTACAAGTGCCTCCTGTCTTGCCATAGGAATTGTACAGCCTTCGTGCCTCAAAAAATCTGCACACAAATGGTCCTCAAATTTTTCCCACAAAATCTTAGGACTATTTGGACATGCATAAACCAACAAATTAGAAAACAACATGCACATCTTGTAAGGCATCTGGTACCGCGAAGCCTCCTCCAAGCACATCTCATGACTGTTGTCCTCCTCCAACAGGCCGCGTTCCAATGCTGCCTCACGGAAGCTGCCACAATACCTGCCATTAACAATTTGGGACAGCGGACTTTGGACAAAAGTAATCTCAAATAAAAACGCTCCCCTTCGCTGACAGCACAGAAACCAATCGGCCAATTGTGCCACGCTCGAACCTTTTTTTCCAACGCTTTTCAGTCGACATCCACACAAAATATTCAGGGAATTCCAGGTATGTCAAGTTCTTTGATTGTGCATAAGGATCATTAGCATTCATGTAGAAGAATTCAGTGAGCATGGTTTTCCTATTGTGAGGATGATTTAGAATCCTATGTAATCTATCAGTCTTCCTAAAGGCCAAGCGCTGATAATTCTCCAGATGCACCTGCAAATGAATTACTGCAGGCCTAATGTCGCCCATATAAAACTTAAAGATCCTCCATGCAGCTTCGGGTGGCGACACCCAATGGGCGGTGCGGTACTGCTCTATCTCGTCTATCTCATCAAAAGGCTTACTCGAATCCACATGAAATGCAATTTTCTCGTGGCCTTTATAAATGTACTTGTATATGTACTTCACAGCCTTTATAGTAGAACACACTTCTACATTCATGTGACAGTTATATTTAGCGAGCAGATATGGATTATATGGAACTACCCACCTATTATCCAGTTCATGACCCCCCACTTTCACACGTATGTTATTATCACGGTGCCTATATCTAGGGTAAGCATCATTAACATGAGTTGTTTCATCACAAAAAGCCTTTGGATAAATTTTTTTACAGGTCCCAGTCTTTTTCATACAAGGGTTTGAAGGGTTCATTTTGCCACAAGGGCCATGCAACATGTGTTTAACAACCATATTATGCAAGTGCGGCGATGTGCCACGATCTGGTATTTCTGCGGACACAATCCTATCGTATTCATTGGTCGTATACAACTTGAACCGACGCTTCAAAATCAAGAGGAGATGTGCATGCGGCAGTCCTCTCTTTTGAAATTCAATCGTATAAGTATAAGCGGCGACTTCACCAAAAATGTGTTTTTTTAAAATTTCCTTTTTCAAATCTTCTAGTTTAGCCCTGAATATTCTAACTATTATGTCTGGTCTATTTTGTGACTCGTCGGAAGGTAACAACAAAGACTTGATCTCTGGCCAATTTGGATTGCAAGTCATTGTCAGGAAAAGGTCGGGCCTGCCAAATCTCTGAACCAAAGTCATGGCATCCATATACCTTCGCTTCATGTTTCTAGGACCTCCAATAAAACCTGAGGGCAGATAGATCCTTTGGCCAACCATAGATGCTTCTGTTTTCCCATTGGCCACAGAATCCTGGATACCAGCCATTAACTCACTCCTTATCTCTACTTGTTGTGTTTTATAAAAGTCTAAGCGCTGGGACTCTATCTTAACATACATGTCAACAATAAATTGTTGGAAAAGCCTGCCAAAATGCAACAAAAGAGATTCATCGCTGTTGCGTACCTGTAACTTGTACGCATAGTACTCCCGCATAGACACATAATTAGGGTTGTCAGTCACTACGGCAACAGCTATTTTTGCAGTGTAAAAACAGACTGTCAGTTAAGCCTTTTTTTTTAGCCATTCATTCAAGAGAAATAGATAAATGCACACACGTACCATCCTCCTCCCTGTGTATTATGTCTTCTGCATCCACTGCCGCCCACGGTGAAACAGAACTTACGGCCCTGCAGTGTCCACCATTTGATTGAGCATCACTCCAATTTTTCTTCTCTATTCTCTGATGCCAACCGACCTGACCAAAAGGGAACATCAACGGATACTGCAATGGGTCATAGCAGCCAAAATAATATTGTATCATATGAGAGGTCCCACCACCACAGTTAACAGGAATATCGCGCTTACCAGGTTCTTCACTGCCACTACCATCCACCCATAAAGCAGCCACCTCAGATTCAGTAGGTTGATTATATGTCCTTTGATCCAAACCGGGGACACAACGCAAAACTATATGACAGTCAATTAAATTCTGCACCGCAGTTAAACCCCTAAAAAATCTAGCGTATGGATTTGACTCAAGAACTCTCAAAACCTTAACAGTGATATTTTCAGTAAGCCGGGGACAAGCAGCCATACGATTAGACACCTCATTCTCAGTATCGTGGAAATAGAGCTGTAAATTATTCGACGACTCTAAATCGTTTAGAAAGTGGTACATCTGACCTTGTATTCTAAAAGTATACACACCATTGTTTCGTTGGCTCAACTCCTTCTCATACATGACCCCCAAAGATGTGAATGCAAACTGTTTATTTATTGTCCTGATGCAGGTCCTAAAAAATTTAGCCTCAGAAGTGTTCGAAATCAAAAGGTCCCTTAACATATCAGGTAGTGGAGCAGAGGCCAACCTTATCGCACCTTCAGAAC